CTCGATGGCGACGCCCTTCCAGGCCGGTGTTGTCGCGCTCTACCTCGAAAAGACCAAGGCGCGCCGGTCGCCGTCGCTGTTTGATAAGATCTTGCTCGGCGCGCAGAACACGGCGCACCCGGCCAAGTACGGCGACGACTCGACCATGTGGCCCGTTGCCAAGCAGGGTGCCGGTTTGGTCGATGCCTACGCACTCTTGACCAACACGGTTGCCGCGACGCCGTCGCGCATCGAGTTTGGCGATAACCCCAAGGGCACGCGCAAGACGGCGCGCATCACGCTGCGCAACAACGGCAACGCGCCCGTCACCTACACGATCACGCACCGCCAGGCGCGGTCGGTCCTCGGCGAGTACGGTGCGCCGCAGACCGAGATCAACTTTTCGTCGGTCGGCGCGCGCGTCACGATCGAGCCCGCGCAGGTCACGGTCGACGTCAACTCGCAGGTCATGATCACGGTGACGGCCACGCCGCAGGAAATGCCCGAAAAGGGACATTGGCTGCTGAGTGGGTATTTGTCGTTCAAGCCCGTCGCTGACGGCAAGACGCCGCACGTTGACGAGGCCGCCGAGGACGAGGAGTCGCTGATGGCGCGCCGCAAAAAGAACCCGAATGCGCCCGCAGCGCTGAGCGTACCCTACTCGATGATGCACGGTGACTACTCGACCTACCCGCAGCTGTCTACCCCGTCGCTCGGCCTCCCGTGGCTGTCGACAGCGCCGCTCGGGTTCTGGGACTTCCAGACTGACGCGCCCGAAGTACCGGTTTGGACCAAGCCCGAGGAGACGACGCCCGCGTTCACGCTCAAGGGGCTCGACATGCCCGTGATGCTCTACCAGGTCACGCTCGTGACGCGCCTCGCCGCGTGCGCCGTCCTCGATGCCAAGACGGGCGCCAAGATCGGTTACCTGAACGCGATTGAGCAGGCGGCGCTCGGGTCCATGTTCTGGCCCTACACGAACCAGACGGATCCGGAGACGGGCAAGCCCGTCCACGGGTGGAACGGCGAGTACTACAAGACGGTCGAGGCCGCGTCGTCGATTGCCGGCAAGGCCTACCAGATCCCGGACGGCGAGTACTTTTGGCAGCTCGAGCTCACGCCGCCGTCGGTTCAGCACATCACGAGCGACTTTGAAAAGGTGTTGCGGCCCGTCTGGAAGTCGCCCAAGATTGTGATCAAGCGCAGTGGGGCCACGACCAGCACCACGTCGACGTCCACCACGAGCACGGCCGCGAGTTCCACGACCAGTACGACGGCCGCGGTCACCAGCAGCAGCACCGCGACTACGACCTCTGGCACGACTAAGGCCACCACGGTGACCTCTGGCTCGACCACGGCAACGACAGGCGCGAGTACGGCCACCACCGGTTCGACCACGGCGACTACTGGCGCAAGCACTGCGACCACCAGCGCCGCCACCTCGCCGGCCACGAGCAGCGCGACTTCGGCATCGCAGTCCACCTCGGTTGCCGCCAGGATGGCTGCACCGACCAGCTCGGCCGCTGCCACCAGCACGACCACCGCGTCGGGCACCGTGACGGCCCCTAACCAGACGACTGGTACCGCTTCGTCGACGGCCACCGGCTCTGCCTCGTCCACGGCCGCTGGCACTGCCTCCTCCACCGGTAGCGGTTCGGCAACCTCGACGGCGACCGGTTCGGCCTCGACCACGCAGACCGCCACTGGTTCGGCTTCGTCCATGGCCGCGGGCTCGCAGACGGGCACCGCTTCGCAGACCGCCACCGCTTCGCAGACGGGCACCGCTTCGCAGACCGCCACCGCTTCGCAGACGGGCACCGCTTCGCAGACCGCCACCGCTTCGCAGACGGGCACCGGTTCGCAGACGGGCACCGGTTCGCAGACGGGCACCGGTTCGCAGACCGCCACCGCTTCGCAGACGGGCACCGGTTCGCAGACCGCCACCGCTTCGCAGACGGGCACCGCTTCGCAGGCCGCCACCGCTTCGCAGATGGGTACCGGTTCGCAGACCGTCACCGCTTCGCAGACGGGCACCGGTTCGCAGACCGCCACCGCTTCGCAGACGGGCACCGCTTCGCAGGCCGCCACCGCTTCGCAGGCGGGCACCGGTTCGCAGACGGGTACCGGTTCGCAGACCGCCACCGCTTCGCAGACGGGCACCGCTTCGCAGGCCGCGACCGCGACCACCGGCTCTGGCTCGGCCTCGGCGACGGCCACGGGCACCGGTTCGGCGTCGGCTACGATTACGGGCTCGCAGACGGCGACCACGACGGCTAGTGGTACGGCCACCGCGACCACGACGCAGGGCACCGGCACGACCGTGATTCCGTGCCCGCCGTGCCCCGGCGGCACCAAGACGGTGATCATCATCCAGCCCACCGCGACGGTCACAACGACGGTTGCTCCCTGCCCGGTGGTACGTGTTTTTATCTTGCCTGTTCGAATCCCGCGAATCGTGACCAAGGAAACTGACCCCCACTCGCAATTTTTTCGCAACCAATAGTGCCCCGGCGGCACCAAGACGATCATTATCGTCCCGCCGACGCAGACCGTGACGCAGACGGTCACGCCGCAGCCGACCATGACCACGGTGCCGTGCGGCCAGTGCCCCGGCGGCATTAAGACGGTGATCATCATCCCGCCCGTCGGCACGCAGACCGACATTTGCACGATCGAGCCGACGCACACGGTCGTGCCGTGCAAGGACACCAACACGTGCCCCAACGGCTCGACGACGCAAGTGATCGTGCAGCCGACGGTCCCGGCCAGCCCGACGACCGCTGGCCCGGCGCCGACCGTCACGACCGAGCCGTGCGGCAAGTGCCCCGGCGGCGTCAAGACGATCATTATTGTCCCGCCGACGGGCACGCAGACGGCGCCCGCGACGGTCACGCCGACGCACACGGTTGTCCCGTGCAACGAGTGCAACGGCGGCGTCAAGACGGTGATTGTGGTCCCGCCTCCCGCGCAGCCCACGGTGCCCGCCGCGACGACGGTTATCGACACGCCCGTCAAGACGACCGATGTACCGTCGGTCCCGGCCACGACTTCGGCGATTGACGTGCCGTCGACGCCCGCCAAGACGACCCCCGTCGCGCCCGTGCCCGTGGCGACTACGACGGTCGATGTCCCGTCGTCGCCCGCGGAAACGACGCCCGCACCGGTCGCGACGCAGCCGGCGGGCGATTCGTACGGCCAGCTGGAAGTGCCCGAGGAGCCGGCGGCCGACAAGCCCAAGAAGACACACGGCAAGTGCCACCGCAAGTGCCACCCCAAGCCCATCACGACCAAGACCAAGAAGGTGCATTACACGATGGCGTAGACGATGAGGAGCGGACGAGCAGTGATGTGTTGTTGTTTTTGCTGTAGATGTGCGGTTTTGATGTTGCAATCGTGTGCTGTTTTGCGCAGATCAATACAAAAGATGTTGCTGTCTGTTTACTGTTCTTTCCTTGATCACGGCTTGCTCAGTAAGTAAGTGATTCTTCTTCACAAGATACGGATGCCGCATCAAGAAATGAATTCTTTCGGGCAGGTCGCACCGTTCCGTGACCAATACTGGAGAGCTGGTGCGTGGAGGAATGAACGCGCAGCTGCGACCTGGCTCGCTATCCCCGCGACACGCACGGCCCACCCTCTCCATCGACCAAAACCAAAAAAAAAGGGACCCGTAGCCCCATATTTATATCCCCTGCAGCACCAATCAATACATGTCGTTCTTGTCGTGATCCGTACAGAACCCCTTGGCATGCAGTGCCTTGGCCTCGATCGCGAGCGTCGCCTGCCGCGCGTCGAGCGCCGCACGCTGCATGCTGAGCACATCCTCGATGGGCGCCTCGCGTATCGGCATCGCGTCCTCGCGGTCACCATCAATCTCGCCGAGCAGGACCACGTTCTCGCCGCGCACCAGGAACACGCCGCGCGGAATGTCGCCGTAGCAGTCGCCCGCGTAGATGCGCTCGATCGTGTCCTGGAAAACGAGGTTGGCTGCGACAAGCGGGTCAGGGGCGAGGTTGGGGTGGGGGAGGGCGCATGGGGGGGGGGGGGTGAGCGTACCAAATTGGTCGTAGGATCGCAGAATGCCCGTCAGGTTGCGCCCGTCGCGCAGGATCACGAGAATCCGTTCTATTCGGTCAATGAGAGCCGCGAGAGGTTGCGATCACGGTCAGAATGCATCAACGGCGGGGAGGATCAAGTGCAGGATGGCGTGGGTCCCCTCAAGTGCGCGCGCCCGCGCGCGCGCCTTGGCGGCCCCGTCGCCGTCCACGCCGACGACGACGACCAGCACAATCACGGCCGACCGTTCACGACGCCGTGCGGGCGCGACCTAGCGTGGCCAACTCCCTCCTCGCGCACAAGTACATACTGTCGATACAATCCAACAGCGACGCCGACCCGGGCAACACCATTTCCGAGACTGCCGATCCCGGCGCGCGCGGGGACCCGTAATGCGCTGCGGCAGGGGGACCGGTCGGCGTGGCCGGGCGCATGCCCGCGGGTGGCGTGGCGGTCCGCGCGCGCGGACTCGGCGGGGTCATGCCGCGCGGCGCGACGAGATGTGAAGGCGACGGTGGCGGCATGCCCATCATGGGCATCCCGGGCGGTGGTACGAGTGGTGCTGGCCCGACGGCGCCATGATGCGGCGGCGGCGGCGGCGGCGGGAAGTGCGGCGAGGTCATGGTTGATGGACGCGGTGCTGCGCTTGCAGCATGGGCCCGTGCCGATCGGCGCGGCGCGGAGAATCGAGTGCGCCAAGTTGTGGACGAAAAGCGCGGCGTGGGTTGCCGGCAGCGAACGGGATCGACGAATGGGGTGGGCGACTCGGTCGTGGTGGTTGAATAGGGATGGAGTGACCTCTGGATGACGGAAAAGCGGTCAGAAACCGGGTTGGGACAGGCTCTCCAACAACAGGGAATGGGGTCGAGCAACAAATGAAAGGTGAAAGTGCTGCCGACCGAACATAGGCAGTCAACGGTATATATATAAATCTGCAGCCAATTAGAAGAAGTCAAAGAGGACTGGACAACATGGCCGAGTGGTTAAGGCGATCGACTACTAATCGATTACCCTAGTGGTGCGCAGGTTCGAACCCTGCTGTTGTCGTGATTTTTGTTTTCAAGGTTCAGCGATACAGTCGCAATCATGTGGACGTGGTGGAGATTTTTTTGTTCCTTTTCATCGCGCAGTCTGCTGCTCGAGTGTCTTGACCTCAGTCGCTGATCGGTTCCAGCTGCTGCTGCTATTTTTTTTTTTTGCATGTTACTGGCCACCCATACACCCGGCCCGCTCGTCGACGCGCCAGTCACTGCCAAGCTCGTTGATCATGCATTCCTTCTGTACGCCCGGCCCGCAGACACAACAGACGAGATCAGTCCTTTTTGACACTACACCCGCTGGCCGCTGGCCGAGTCCACTTCTCTCGTCGTCGCCCAAAGCAAGTCCACAGTCGTCACCCTCCCACGCGATGCGCCTCCGCCGCCGCTCCAGTCCCTTTACTCCTCCTCCCGCCCACCCACGCCATCATCCCCACAAACTCCCCCGCCCTCGCCAACGCTGCAATCGCGCCATACACCATAACAATCTCCCTCGGCCGCGTCGGCGGGTCCGGCGCAGCCAACAGTCGCAACTCTGGGTGAATCCCGTGCGCGAGCGCGCGCAGGACCAAGGTCGCGCGATTCAGCCGGTGCGCGAGCGGGAACGTGACGACCAGACTCGCCGCCGCGAGGGCGGCGACCAGCGTCGCGGCAATCAGCAGGAGAGAGTTGATCATGGCTGTGGTGGGAGCCGTCGACGTGGCGTTCGGCTCGACGTACAGGAGCGTCCAGGTCGCGGGGAACGTGCGGCCCGCGTGTGACGCGGCGCCGGTGCCGAGGAGCGCGCGCACGGTGGAGGTGGTCGAGGAAGTGGACGCGGACCACGCGGCGGCGAGCGGTGCGGAGAGGCTGCTGATGGGGTTCGATGAGGGGAAGAGTGGTGCTGACCACACGCGCAGCGCCGGCGCGGTCTTCGTGCTTGGTACCACGATCCCCGCTGTCGGCACCGTATACGCCGTGGGATACTGCCCGACGTGCGCGGCCACACTCGCGGCCCACGCGTCCGTCGTCTGCAACGCCACGGCGGCCAGCGGCATCTGGCCCTGCAGCGGCGTGCGGGACCCGTGCATTTCCGTGACTTTCAATCCCGTTGATGCGGCAATCATCGTCTGCGAGACCGGATCAACCAAATAAACGGACGCCGGCGGGCTCGGCGCGACCGTCGACCCGGAATTCCCCGCCGTCTCCGCGGCCGCCACAGGCGCCTCCGCCAAAACCGACGCGAGCGTGGCGAGACTCGCGGCGGCAGTCACGGTCACGGTCCGTTGCGCGGAGACGCGCGTGCGCGCGAGGAGCGCGACCCACGCGTCGCCGTCGCTGAGCGGTAAGTTGGCCCAGATCGCGGTCACGTTCGGTGCCGCACCAGTGGAAACCGTTTGCACGGCGGTCGCGCCCGTGATCGCTGCGTCCATGGCCTGCCACCAGGTCTGGTTTGCGAGCGCATAGTTGGTCGACTGCGAGTAAATGAGCACTTGCCGGCCGTCGGCGTCGACCTGCGTCTCGGTGCGCGTGCCGGACGCGTCGACGGTCAGCGCGACGGGTACGCGCGCGCCATTGCGCACGAACGTGTAGAAGTCGGCGAATTCGGTCCCGCCAGTGTCGGCGATCGTCACGGACGCCGACACGACGGACCGCGTCGTTTCTTGCAGTGCTTGGAGGAGGTTGCGGCGCGCGACGGTCGCGGTCATGGTCGGGTGTTGTCGCCAGTACACGATTTGCGCGAGGACGGGGCCGCGCACGTCGAGAAGCGTGCGCTGCATGGCGCGTTGGGCCGCGAGCAGCGTGTACGCGGCGCGGTCGTGCGTGCGCGCGTCGAGGTCTTGCGCGGCGGGCCATATCGACGCGGTACCGACGAGCACGGCCATGATGGCGGCGACGACCAGGACGGCGGAGAAAGTCGCGCAACGGACGCCAATGTGGCCGGATCGCGGGAGTCCGACCCACTCGGTGCCAGCTATTTGGGTGGAGATGGCGCGTGGTCAGCAGTACGGGTCAGAGATTGAGGAGACGTTCGTACGGACCGATTCCGGCCTTCAAATCGACGTGCGATGCGCTGGTACTCCTAGACTCGCGTACGACAGGCACGGCTACCGCGGCACCGCCCAAGTTGAGCCGATGCAGCGCGAGCGCAGCGGCAGTGCGCGGGTTCTGCGCGAGAAGCGACGCGCGGCGCACAAGGGTCGCGGATGGCACGGTCAGCTCGTCCATATTCGATCTGGTCGTCGACGCGGCGCGCTCGCCCGCCGTCGACAAGGCTTCTCCCGCCGGAGCCAGTCGTCCCGGATCACCGTCGACATTGTCCACCACTTCGTCGGCGAAGTAAATGCTGGGTGTGGACCGTGCGCCCCCGGTCGCGCGTGAGCGCCTTGCAGATGGGCTAGTCGGAAGACCAGTGCGAGAGCCCGACGACGCGGCCGGCTCGGCGGGCGGGCTCCCCGGTGCCGTGGCGACGGAGCCGTCGGTAAGCGACGTGGCCGATGTGCGCGCCGAAGGAGATACGGGTGCTGCCAGGAGCGGGTTGCTGGCTTCGTTGGCGCTGGGAGGCGACGAGGCGGGCGAGATGGCGGGATGCGTGGGCGCAGAGGGCACCAGCGGGGCCGCATTTGCGGCGGACATCTTGCACGCGATCGTGAGCAGGTGTTGAGGGCGAGTGCACCAAGTGGGGCCGTCAAAATGATCGGTCTTGCTGTTGCTGATCGCAACCGACGCGTCGAAGTCGAGCTGGCAAACAGTTCGCGTGGATGTGCGTCTTGGAACCAACTGACGCTTCTGACGACGCCACGGCGCCATGATCGCCAGCGCGGCGGCCCACGCCATCCTCAAGCGGGCCCGTTTTTAGCGCATCTATGTCTGCCAGGCTTTGCTGCCATGATCGCCGCCACGTCGCCGACGGTCGTGAACAGCAGACGACCCATCACTTGCACGAACCCAGACCGACTTGCTGCAAAAGCGCGACTGATAGGCCGACGCGCATCCGCGCCAGCAATGTCAACCCTCCAACTGACAGCACTCGGACAGCTCGTCGCACACCATGGAGATCTCGGCGGAGCGCGGCCCGATCGAGTGCGCACGTCTACGCAGCGCTCGACGAAACTGAGCGTGCCCGTGCTGCCAGCACGGCATGACAACGGCTGGTTGAGACGCATTGGCTCCGCTTATCCACGCCGGCCAGGCCGGACAACGCCGTCCGTGCTGGCGGCTCGAGGGATCCAACGTGCACGTTCGCTGTGGCGGCGACAAGAACAACTGCCTCGGTGTTCGGTCCTTGTCGATCCGGTGCACCGTCGGTGCGCGATTTCCGGTGCCAAGCGGGATCCATTGGCACATGCGCACACCGGCTTCTGGTCGGCCGGTCATGGATCCCTTCGCCATCGAGGACAGCCGGTGCCGCGGCGTCGCCCGCCCGCCGGCCCCGCTGCGCGCTCTTTTTTCCTTCTCGTCGGTCGCGACGCTCCGCCAGCACCGCGGGTATAAATGCCTCATGCGCCCGACGCCGGCGCGGACGCTGTCGCCTCGGCTCGGCTTGCCCGCTCCTCTCCACTCGGCACCCGCACCTGGACCCGGCCTTCTTGCTCCTGCACTCGGCCACACTCGCGCCCGCTCTCGCTCTCGATTCCACCATGCGCGGCCACGTCGGCGCTGCCGCCACGATGCTCCTCGCTGCCGCCGCGACCACGCTCCTGCTCGCGGCCACGTTCACGCACGCGTCGCCCGTGACTCCGCCCTCGTCCAAGTCTGCGCGAGACGATGCGCACGGCAGCTCGTCGTCCAAATCCTCTTCGACTAAGTCTTCGTCGTCGTCGTCGTCGTCCAAGTCGTCGTCGTCGTCCAAGTCGTCCTCGTCCGCGGTCCTGACCACGTCGGACCTGCGACTGTGCGTGCCCGAGATTGTGCCATGCACCGTGCGCACCTACTACATTGCCGCCGACGAGGTCGAGTGGGACTATGCGCCGACGGGAATGGACAATTTCGCGATGCTGCCGCTCGACGAGAGCCCGCTCGCCGCGCCGTTTACGCGGCAGGAAATCCCCGGCCGGATCGGGCGCAAGTACATCAAGGCCATTTACCAAGAGTACGAGGACGCGACCTTCACTAAGCGCAAGCCCAAGGAGGACCCGTCGCTCGGGATCGTCGGCCCGATCCTGCGCGCCGAGGTGGGCGACACGCTGCGCGTCGTCTTCAAGAACAATGCGCGGTTCAATTTCAGTCTGCACCCGCACGCCGCGCTCTACGACAAGAACTCCGAGGGGGCTGTCGGCGGTAGTATCAACGGCCGCGGCGCGAGCGTCGCGCCGGGCGAGACGTTCACGTACCTGTGGTTTGTGCCGGACCGCGCCGGCCCGGGTCCGCTTGACCTCGACTCGATTGTATGGGCGTACCACTCGCACGTCTCGGACAATGATATTTACGCGGGGCTCTACGGCGCGCTCGTCGTCTACAAGAACCGCGGCGTGCTCGACGGTCGTAATCTGCCGCGGTTCAACTCGGTGCTGTTCCCCGTGCAACGCGAAATTGTGACTTACTGGGTCGTCATGGCCGAGACGCTGTCGCCGTACCTCGCGCTCAATGTGGAGCGGTACGCCGGCAACGCGACGCTGACTGTCGAGGAACAGCGCATTGCCGCGTCGCTGTCGCGCGCAACGGGCGGCGTCGTCGGCGGCCCGACGGGCACCAACACGTCGACGCTCAACGAGCTCGGCGGCGGGTTTGGTGGGTTCGAAGAGTCGAACCGCATGCACCCGATCAACGGGTACGGGTGGGGCAACTTGCCCGGGCTCGACTTCAAGCAAAACGAGTACGTGCGGTGGTACCAGCTCGGGCTCGGCACGTTCCTCGACGTGCACGTGTTGCACTGGCATGGGATCACGGCGATCATGGAGGGCCATCGCCGCGACACGATTGAGCTGTTCCCGGCAACCTTTCATGTGGCCGACGCACGAATGGACGACCCGGGCCAGTGGATGCTGCACTGCCACGTCAACATTCATTTCGACGGCGGCATGGTTGCGT